TATATATATATATATATATATATATATATATGCTAGTTGCCACATCAAGCGTTTGATTAAAGCCCGAACTGATTTAAGCCTGGATTAGGTTTCGATCTCAAACATAAAACTACAAGGGATGAGGAAAAAGATAATTGGGAGACAGCAGAGGGGGGGGGGTATAGAACAGGTAGAGAAGTCACTATAATGCTTTAAAGGAGAATGTAGAAGTGGTAGGAGAGGAGGTTGAGCATGGGAAAAAGGCACAGAAGGTGAGTAAAAAAAGGTAGATAAGGGTAGAACAGAAGTGGTAACGAGTAGCTGATAAGAGGTAGAAGATAGGGAGAAAACAGATGTAGTGGTGCAAGTAAAGGGGAGGGAGAATGTTAAATAGGTAGAGAATAGAGAAAGGTGCACAAAACTACTGGACTGATGTGTTACACAGGGTATAGAGCTGTAATAAAAACATCTGAAGATGGAAATATACCAACCTGTGGCTCAGCAGTTTCAAATTCCCCTATGTTGTTTCCTCCGGTTTCACCTACATAGACAATAATATTGATCACGGACTATAAATACTCCATATACATACAACATAATATACAAGTGCCATTGTATATAGCACCTGCTGGAACATAGAAAATAATATTGATCACTGACTATAAATACCCCATATATACATGATATAATATATACATACAAATAATATACAAGTGCCAATGTATAACACCTGCTGGAACTACTAAGTACTACTTTTGCTGTTACCACTATATTTAGCATCTTACCCAATGTAATGAAACAAAATGACGAAGTAACCCTGGTAACTCCAGTGGCAGTGTTGCCACTAGTGATTACCTGACACTCTGGATAACATCCCTGGTGGGGAGAGTGGGTAGCTAAACTCATATTACGAGTAGCGGGTCAAAGACTGTCTAAAATTAGGGCACCTGTATTTTTTCACGAACTGTAAAACTAAAAGCTTAAAATGACCACCTTTATTGAATTTAACAGAAAATAACTTCTGTTGATGTATATAGGAGTATATCATATGTACAGATAAATCAATCTTATAATTAAGGTGCCAGTTAATATCATAAGTTACTGTGACAAGCGCAGCACTACAAATGAAGAGTGACTGCAAACGTTTTGCATATATATATATATCTTTCTTTACAAAATGTCTGTTTTTTTCCCTGATGGAGGGAGGGGGCTGTCTCCCTGCTCATTCTTCCAGTTCAGGCAGCCCCAACCCCCTACCGGTGACGTCACGCGTGCATACGCCAGAATATTTCAAACGGAAATGCCAGTAGTGCTTATTTTGAGTAATAAATGCATAAATACGAGGTGTAAAGTTGTGGAAAGTGTTCAAAAAGATAGGTGAGATGTCCATGTAGATAAATAAGTGTTAAAAAGCCTGATCATTTTCCGTTTTGTGAGCCATTTTGAGTGGAACCTGTTGGGACCCCGTGTTGCTGCGAAATCCAGTTGAAGATGTTCTATAGCCCTGCGGCAGTTAATGAAAGCGGGCTATAGCACTGCTGATAGGGTCTATGTCCCCCAGGGTACTGCCGGAACGTACCCTGGTACTAAATACTACTATCTAATATGCCGGACCGTACCACACCTACTCCACTATCGAGCCTAGGGAGTCGCCTATGCCTACTCCATAACCCTAACTCTAACTCTAACTCTAACCCTAACACTAACCCTAGCCATATCAGCTAGATAGTTACCAGGGTACGTTCCGGTATACCGGACCGTACCCAGGGTACGTTCCGGCAGTACCCTGGGGGGCATGGCCCCTATCAGTATCAGCTATAGTATTAGTACTAGAGCTAGCATCCCATACGCAATAGGCATAACTCTGTCTCATTCTCCCACCCCCTCTCTCTCTCTCTCTCTCACTTTCTCCTGCCCTTCTTTCTCAGTCGGTTGCTTCAATTCTAACGTATGATGAATAACCATTGTCATTGAAATTTCTCACTGAATGAGAGAGGATATATCATATAACCACAATGACAATCAAATTATCAATGGTTCAACTTCAGACTAAAAAACGAAAATCCAGGAAACGAAAAATTAGCACTAGGTGTGTTGAACTTGCTTATGTCTGATTTAGATAAGTTGAGGTTATGTTTACTTGAATGCCTATAATTACCTTGAAACCCGTCATCATCTAAACCGGCTAATTCATCTTGTTCTCTGGCAAGAAAATCAGCAGCGGGATCATCTTCTAGATTCGCCATTTTATTATGACTGGCATGTGTGATTTTTCACGTAGGAACACAGCAGCGAAAACGACGTCTGACCCATCTATTTACATAGTCGTTGCGCCACCTAGTATCAGAAATATTCAAACATTTGGTAATAACCACTCACCACCGTCTGTTCATTGATAATTTACAACAAGTTCATTGCTTGATAGATGAATGTGTGCCATCACGAATATATTTGCACTCTATATTACTCTCAAGTATTCTACTGAATATTAAACTGACTGAATATTAACTGAATAAGTGAATTGATTTACATCTGATATTTGTATTTTGTACATTTGGCCACATTCATTATTTCACTCCTTCATTGCTACACAATTTAATTATTTTTAAATTTAAATATTTTTTTCAGTCCCTGTTTTGTACAAAATGTTCCGCACATACAATAAGTCCACAGACCACAAATACATACATGTTCAAGAAGAGACATTCAAGAAATTTTATTGTAAAATTCTTCACTACACTGCTCTACATCACGACTAAACGTCTCGACACAGTTAACACATTTCGCATTGACTGTGAACGTGTAGTATCTTTCAGCAGCCAGCTTCCCAGCTGCGTTTGTTTTTCCACCAACCGACAATGCAACATGATTTGCCCATGCAATGGCAGTCACCCCAAAGTTCGACGCAAAGTCCTCGGGTACGAAGCATCGTCCGACAACAGCACCGGTGCCATCGTTAACTCCGAATAGCATTAGAGGCCGGTCTCGGCATACGTCAGTGCCGACAATCAAGACTTTCTCGTTAGTGTCGCCACGGAGACGGTGTACGACGACGCTGTCGTTACTCTGACGCAGAACCTCAGTCACTTCACCCACAGCAGCTTTTACAGCACGCTTCCAGTAGGCCTTCTCCGCGCGACTAATGGAAGTTTTTATCACAGTGATTTGCCGTGTCAGGTCGTACAGCGCACGCGCTGGAAGCACGGCCTCGCTCAATCGGCGCTGGATGGTAGAGAGACGGCGCAATTTAACACGGAAATGTTCAGAATCTTTCAAAGCGACAGCAGACAAGCTTGACACCTCGGCTTGAAGAGCGCTGGCATTTTCCTCGGCTAGGATAGCTTCATTTGCTGTCACAGCAGTCAGTCTGTGGATACCATTAGATGGAGTACTCTGCTTAGTGATGACAAACGGCCCAATGTCTGACGTTCTAAGGACATGCGTCCCACCACATAATTCAACCGAATACTGTGCATGCAGTGTTTCAAGGCTTGGCACAGATAAGCTGGCAGCATCGTTGCCAACCGACACTACGAAGACTGTATCAGGATACAACTCATCAGGAAGAGTGACGATTCGCGGTACCTCCAGCGCCTGGTCGATCGGTAGCTCCTGCCGAAACACACCAGTGTCGCCATCTATGATGTCGCTCACGATCCGCTCGACCTCCTCCAGCTGTTTAAGGGTGAGCGTCTCCTGGCAGGAAAAATCAAATCGCAGTTTATCTGGCTGTACCAGGGAGCCCTGCTGGCTGCACGCATCCCCGAACAACTGACGCAGAGCAGCATTGAGTAGATGAGTGGCGGTGTGGCTCCGCATACAGGCCTGCCTTCGTTCACCGTCCACGGACACGGTGCATTCGCTGCCACTTCGCACGGTGCCGGAGACGACGCGACCGTTGTGAAACACGTAGCCGCCACGGTTCTGCACACTGCCGACAAGAAATTTCGCCTGACCTGTGTTGATAATCCCCTCATCTGACACCTGACCGCCTGCAGTCGAGTACATACACGTGGTGTCTACGACTAGTGAACACTCCCCTGCCTCGCTGCAAACCGAGTCGGCGATGTCACCATTGAGACAGATGGCTTGAATCATAGCCGTAACTGGCGAGAAACTGTAGCCATGCTCTCCGCGCATGTATTCGTACTTCGATGCATCTTCCGTCGCTTTCACGCCACGCGCACTCAGACGAGACACTACACCTTCTCGTCTCGACGAAACGTCCTCCTCTTGTTGCCGAGCCACATCCAGAGCAGACTTTTCCTGCTCTACTGCCAACAACTGTCGAAATTCTTCCATATCTATCGTCATGCCACAGCTGTGAGATACTGTGCAGATCACATCTTCTGGTAAGCCCATCTGGCTGTGTACTTCCCAAGCGTGCTTGCCGGATAAACAGGTAGCACCATCTGTTTCAAGCTGGGCGATGATATCATGTAGGCGTCGACGTCCTCTTTCGCACTGCCTCAGGAACTTCTGTTCCTCATCATCGATAATGCTACATACCGTTTCCGGATCCTTTTTCAGTTCCGGATAGGCGTCTCCAAGCGAGGAGACGACGAGTGGGACTAGAGAGCACAAAAAACCCTGCGGAAGTTTCAGGACGTCATGCGCCGTACGAACGGCTCTTTGTACGACCCTGCGTAATCGGTGCCCTGCAGCTTGCGGCCCCGGACGGACACCGTCACTTATGGCAACCGTTATCATACGTATATGGTCAGCCACTACCCTGTATGCCACATCCACTGAACTTTCCAATGAACCACCATACAGACAAATGTCGCTGCCTTTTTCTATTGCACTGATCAGCGGGACGAACAAATCGGTGTTGTAATTCGATACAGATCCATTAAGAATGGCAGCTAGGCGTTCTAAACCCATGCCAGTATCAACGTGCTTCCGAAGTAATGGCTTTAGAGATCCGTCTGATTTCCTTTCAAATTCTATGAAGACGAGGTTCCAAACTTCAATCACATTTGCCGACCCTGTATTCACAAGGTATCGTGCTTCCGCTGAATCAGTGTGATCATAATGAATTTCAGTGCAAGAGCCACATGGGCCAACATGACCCATCTCCCAGAAGTTATCCTTGATACCAAAAGGAAGGATTCTTTCTGGAGAAACACCCAATTTTAACCAAATCTCTTTACAGTCATCATCTGGTGCAAGACCTAGTTCGTCGTTGCCAGCAAAGTATGTTACATAAAGTCGTTCCGGCAACAAGCCATAGATTTCTGTTAACAAATTCCATGCCATCGCGCAAGCCTCTTGCTTATAATAATCACCAAACGACCAATTGCCTAACATTTCAAAAAACGTGTGATGATACAAATCTCTGCCTACGTCATCAAGGTCATTGTGCTTTCCGCCAACTCTGATGCACTTTTGACTATTGCATACGCGTTGGTAGAAATTCGTCCTGTTATCGGTCACCTGCTCGCCAAGAAATATTGGCTTGAACTGGTTCATTCCAGCATTTGTAAACAGTAAGCTGTTATCATTTCGTGGCACGACAGATGAAGACGGCACGACGACATGCCGGTGCTTCCCAGTGAAGAAATCAAGAAAGGTTTTGCGAATTCGTTGAGAAGACCAGTTCTGACCAGTGCTATGCAACCTAAACGTTTGCCAAAATAGTAAACGCACGTGTACTGTCAATAACAAATTAGACATTTTGCGGAGAGCGTGTACGGAAAGGATCGGTTTGTGGATTGCGACTTAATTTTTCACACAGTGCTACGCCATTTTTATTGTCGCGCGCGCCATCTAACGATCACTATATCGTCAATGATCATTCATTTTGATAATTCATCGATAATAATATCACAGAAAACGATTTCTATGCATACAGAGCCGTAGCCTGCAGGGGGGGGGCAAGGGGGCAGCTGCCTCCTAGATTTTGGAGCAAAATTTAAAAAAAAATTGTTCTACTAAAAGAGAATTGTCGTAGTCAGAATGAAGGCTGTACTGCATGTACTCAAAAGTGCCTCAAATACCATCTCCTGCGATCTACATTTTCAAAATTTTCGGTGGGAGGACCCCCAGACCCCCCGCCTGTTACCCGCCCCTCCTTGAAATCCTGGATCCGCCACTGCACCCCCTAGGAATTTGCTCAGCCTACGGCCCTGGTATATATCTATTTCGATAGATAATATATTTTAATGATTTAATGTGTATCTACGCATTCGTTCCACAAAAGGTTCGCAACGTGTCTTTGTAATTTGTCAAGGCAGTAATTAGTACGAATACAGAATGTAGAACGATACACAGAAATTCACGCGAAGCGAGGAAATAAGGAATAAAGCGAAATAGGAGGATAATGAGAATACCAGAGCGAAAGAAAGAAGGTGAACGGGAGAAGAATAAGAAAGAGACGCAGCAAGAGGAAGAAGAATTGGGTGGATGTGGAAAGGATGAAAAGGACGAGAAAGTGGGAGAGGCGGAGGGAGAGAAATAAAAATATGAAGAAGAAGAAGAAGAAGAAAAAGAAGAAAAAGAAGAAGAAGAGGGAAGGGAAAGAACAGAAGGGGCGAAGGAAGAGATTGAGCAAGCGGATAAGAAGGGGGAAATGGAGGAGGAGAATGAGAAGTAGGAAGAGGGGGAGGAGGCAATAGTTTCCCATGAAAACTTCCTATCTCTACCACTCGTGTTATTAAAAAAACCCTCTGGGGGCTCCTGGTGTATGCTCGCGCATGCTCGGTATATCTACCAAACTGTTATTATGCTCATAATATATACAGGTAACGGTGGAAGTCATACTCAGCAATAGTTTACCATGAAAAAATATCTTTCAAAATATCTGACTGCTAAGGCGCCCCGCCTACGGAATTAACGTATACTATAGGTTTGGCTGAGGTGTATGTTCGCGCATCCCCGGCATCTACTAAATAGAAACTGAATTCTGTTAATAATTGTTCATTTCAAGGGCTGTCAAAACTTTAGACCCAGTCTGCTGTAAACATTACATTAAGTGCTACACATTTAATACAATTACACTGTTAGGATTTTAATAATTTTATTAAAAATTGAAATAATAGTGTAACCTCCTAATGAAATACCTTATGCTGATTTTGACGTTTTCATGATTATAAATATAATTGTATTTGCACGCGTTATACTTTCCTTTCTATTTCTTCTCCTGCACTCGCCATTAATATGCATGTATGCAACACTAAAAACACATTTTTAAATACGTAACCACTATATCGTTGGTTATTACAAACTGCCTTCCGGCGGATACAATTTTTGGCGAGAAATCCCCGCGAATGCATACAGAATAAAATTATGATGTGATTATATATATATTAACTTAATGAGAATACCAGAGCGAAAGAAGGAAGGTGAACGAGAAAAGAATAAGAAAGAGACGCAGTAAGAGGGAGGTGACGAAGAAGAATGGGGTGGATGTGGAAAGGATGAAAAGGACGAGAAAGTGGGAGAGGCGGAGGGAGAGAAAGAAAAAGATGAAGAAGAAGAAGAAGAAGAAGAGGGAAGGGAAAGAACAGAAGGGGGCGAAGGAAGAGATTGAGCAAGCGGATAAGAAGGGGGAAATGGAGGAGGAGGATGAGAAGTAGGAAGAGGGGTAGGAGGCAATAGTTTCCCATGAAAACTTCCTATCTCTACCATTCGTGTTATTAAAAAAACCCTCTGGGGGATCCTGGTGTATGCTCGCGCATGCTCGGTATATCTACCAAACTGCTATTATGCTCATATTATATACAGGTAACGGTGGAAGTCATACTCAGCAGTAGTTTACCATGAAAAAATATCTTTCGAAATATCTGCCTGCTAGGGCGCCCCGCCTACGGAATTAACGTATACTATAGGTTTGGCTGAGGTGTATGTTCGCGCATCCCCGGCATCTACTAAATAGAAACTGAATTCGGTTAATAATTGTTCATTTCAAGGGCCTTCAAAACTTTAGACCCAGTCTGCTGTAAACATTACATTCAGTGCTACATATTTAATACAATTACACTGTTAGGATTTTAATAATTTTATTAAAAATGGAAATAATAGTGTAACCTCCTAATGAAATACCTTATGCTGCTTTCGACGTTTTCATGATTATAAGAATAATTGTATTTGCACGCGCTATACTTTCCTTTCTATTTCTTCTCCTGCACTCGCCATTAATATGCATGTATGCAACACTAAAAACACATTTTTAAATACGTAACCACTATATCGTTGGTTATTACAAACTGCTTCCGGCGAATACAATTTTTGGCGAGAAATCCCGGCGAATGCATACAGAATAAAATTATGATGTGATTATATATATATTAACGATTAAGATTATGCGCTATATCATAATATCAGAGAGGTGGCTCGTATTAGCAAACATCATCGGGAAATCAGTTAAAATCGCAATCCGTATCATGCATATACATACATATACATACAACCAAGAGCGTATATACTTAATATTTAATACTATATAGTAATATATTTAAATACTTAATACGTAATACTATACTTAACACGTATTTACTTGATACTTAATACCAAGAGCGGGTATACTTAATATGCGCTCTTGATACAACTAACAAGCCTTGATGTGGCTCACATATAAACAGCTGCCTGGTTGCTACATTTTGCAACTTAGCCGTCAATTGCGCGCACACAGATGCAGGTCCTTTAGGCTGGATTGCGCCAATACATTTCAACATACATACCACAATCAGGAGTTAATGAGACAAAAATCTATTAACTCATTAAATAAAATCTCATGAAATATAAACTCATTATCTAAAATCTCATTAACTCCTGATACAATGCATACCAGGCGAAGCATACGCTAGCACATTTATATATCTATTAATTGTGTGACAATATGCGCGTGATAACGTTGTTTGTTATCTCCTAAGCTACCGGCGTCTATGCACATACAACAATAACGTTAAAAGCTATATGCAGGTGAAATTTCGCTTTCAGTGTGATGGGTATTTGCACATGATGCTTTTTATGGGGAGTTCTTTGTGCTGTAAATGAAACTTGCGGCACGCGAAATGTCACAGCGAGACAAATGGAAGCAAACTGAAGCTGTTTCCCAAACTATACAGAGGTGATCATGGAAATATCGAGATACGTCTCACCGCGATCATGAACTGATCGTCGTTTATACTGAAGCATAGAATACAGAGAGATTTTCCATAGTCGTTCATTACATTGCATTGCGTATTGCATTGCATTGCATTGCATTGCATTGCATTGCATTGCATTGCATTGCATTGCATTCCTTCATTGCATTGTGTATTTTTAACATTTACAGAGCGAGGCATTAATATTATTACATATACTAGCAACAGATAAATATGAATACAACAAAAGTTCGAAACTGCGAACGGAGTTAAACACGGGTGGATTTAGAACAGCACATGCACACTGAATGAAATAGAAAATAGAAGATCGTTCGTGACATATAGTAACATCCGGTTGTCACGTGACGTCATTATGATTAATGTCTAATGCCGCCAGCAAATCTATATATAGAACATAAACGATTGACAAACTGCACTATTCAAGACACGGGTAATTAAGATTTTAACAGATTCGAATAAGGACAATCAAGCTATTTGTAAATCCATCTCCTCATCTCTAATCGTTCCTTCTTGGAACTCAGTGGCAATGTTTTACAACAATTAAAATAGATAATGCTTTTCGCAAGAATACTTCAGTCCTACACCGTCTTTCTACGTTTTTTTTTACCCCCGTGAGACATTTGTTATCAAATAATTGCGACAAAAATGTCCTACTTTCTGTAGACTCAACGACTTCATACTAAAGGATATTAGCGCATATCTTTCTAATACCAAACGAGTTACCAGTGCAATGTATAGTACTAAACAAAGACAAGGACCGCACGTGCTATATGAATACACCTTACTACACTACGAACGCCCAGTGCAACATAACCGCTCCGCGTTTCTCTTCCACTTCACTATGATAACCTCCAGTAGGAAGAAAGCCAGAGAAATGGGTAATCCTATCGCTAGCACAAGCATTATACCATACATTGTTTCTAGGTCAAGACTCTGTGCGTGAATTCCTGTTCCCATCTCCTGCGAGCATTTGGGTATTCCGTGTGAAAGGATCCGCTTGCGGAGCAGCTCGAAGAGACCGCTTTCCATGTACGACTGTAGACCTATGTTGATGGCGTGTGCGTGTGTGCTGTTAAGTGGTACGATCCATGACCTGCGGTTTGCTGGAATTTTTAACGGCGCAATAGCTAGTCTGCAAGTTCCAGTTGATTCATAGTCTGCACGAAAAATCTCCTCAGCGCCTATTACATTTTTGATAAATCCATAGTTTCTCGTGACGACTAGTTCTATCGCAGCGCCTATATTGCTGACTACCGCCCGCCTATCTCCGGACATTTTCTGCCACATTTTCCCAAGATCAGATTCTGAAGGTTGTCGCTGCATCTCATCCAATATTGACCACCCTTCCACGGCTGTCGGGATGATCGTTGGGTGATGGGCGAACTCGTTTAGTGTCCTAAACGGATACTGAATTGTTGGCTTCACTGTAAGAAAGCTAAACAGATTACCAGTGTACAGTGCGCAGATAGAAAGAGCAAAGAACCACCATATAGATAGTAATATTCTAGATGGAAGATGGAGAGGCAAACTAACTCCACCCTGCTGTAGGAATGAGCCAAACATGTAGCCCAAATGATAAAATATTCCTTGCGCAGTTTCTTCATTTTCCTGTAGACCATTGCTCCTTTGTGACATTCTCTCGATAGCCGTCATAGTGGCTGCTGTTATAAGTGAATATGCGACCATGCATAGCCAGATATAGGTATCAAATGGATCGAGAATGTTAAACATGGTAATTTTCTCGCGTGGTCTTTTAATAATTACCACATAGTAACTATCAATCAGTGGTCTAAGGAATTGCATGCTGTGCGCACGATGGCGGGTTCTGATGAACATCGAAATGTCTAGGTCCAACGATCCATTCTTCATTGCTGTCAATTCGTCCTGCGTCGTATGTCGAATATGAAGGGTAAACGTAAAATTCAGGTACTTGCTCAAGTCCACTAACAACGTTTTCGAACACAGACGTAAAGTATCGTCTGGCAAAAATCGCGGGCTGTAGAATCCCACGTTCATGTGCAAGCCATTTAGTTGTTCCACTCCATAGCGGGTTCTAACTCCATGCTGCAGTATAACTCTGCTGCTGTTAGTGGCAGGCGGAATTTTGCAGACTGATGAGGTTGAGGGGTTGTTCGTTGCCAGTGCACAGGTTGACATCATCAGAGTGTAGATGAGCAGGTAGCGTAGCAACATTTCTTGGCTCAGTTTTTCTTGCGAACGATACTCGTGAACGATGTATTCTGGCGAACGACACTCGTGAACGATGTATTCTTGCGAATGACACTCGTGAACGATGTATTCTTGCGAACGAGACTCGTGAACGATGTATTCTTGCGAACGATACTCGTGAACGATGTATTCTTGCGAACGATACTCGTGAACGATGTATTCTTGCGAACGATACTCGTAAACGATGTATTCTTGCGAACGATACTCGTGAACTATGTATTCTTGCGAACGACACTCGTGAACGATGTATTATTCTTGCGAACGATACTCGTGAACGATGTATTCTTGCGAACGACACTCGTGAACGATGTATTCTTGCCGAAACGATACTCCGTTAACGCATGTATTCTGCGAACGCATACTGTGAACGCATGATATTATCCCGAACGCCACACTCGAGCTAATACTAAGCCGAAGCCACAGTTCAGCGGAATGTTGTTTGAAGCTATGCTCATCCGCGCTTGCACAGGAGCATCTATTTGCAGCACCATGCTGCTGTAGCCGTTATGCCCGGCAGCCCCTTTCTCGAGGAACACATCGTTCAATAACGCTAAAAGCTATGTGGAGTCGATGTTTAAACGCTGCAGATCTGTTTATCGCGCAGACACGTCCGTCCCGATTGAAAATGTTTGCATAGCGAGCCCGTTGTTCGATTTCATAAAGATTGCCAAAGCGAACCATGTCACGCTATCAGTGCCTATTCAATTATACCTATACTAATTCAATAACTCGTATGTTGAGTCTCTATAATCAAAGGTACACCTACGCCATTGATGATGTATCTCAGCCGACACAAAAAACGCTATTATAACGTTATTATACCATGGTTAGGGTCACGCAATTCAATCGTGTTTATTAAACGCAAATGTGTCCGGTTTTTATAACGTTTTGAAAGCGTTTGAAACCGTAAAATACATTTTTACAGAACCTCAATACAACGTTATTGTATTGAGTCCAGATAACGTTAAAACACAACGTAATTAGGACGTTTTCTCTGCTACATAACAGTTGTTGATATACTTTGGTTGTATGTGTGCGCGTACATTCATCCGTGCGTATATATATCAGTGGGTATATACGTTATAATATAGGAGGAGGAGAGAGCGAGGCAGGCCAAATGAGGAGGGAGAGAAGGGGGTGTAGATGAGAAGGGTAGGAAGGAGGAGGTAGAAGAGGAGAGAGACATGAAGTACATTAGAAGCTGATGAGTGGAGAAGGTGGAGGAGGGGGGCGGATGAGGAAGAGGAGAGGAGGCTAGAGCGAAGCGGGGACGAGAGCGGAGCGTGCCTATCATGGACGACCGAGACAACCACCACAACACACACACCACACACAGTAACACATTTGTTTTCATCGTTTCTCGCTCCGAGCCACCGCGCACAAGAATCACAGGCACAACTTAATTGGAACGTCTCAATAAAAAATACGTGTATTATTCGAGCGAGTTTGGTACGAGTCATTAGTTGTTCTCATTTTTGCGCCTATTAATATCCAGATATGAATTATTATTATATTTTTATAAAATTATTATAAACTCATATTATCACAGGATTGTTTTTGGATAATAAGACTCAGAGTAC